TTGAAAATGTAGGAAATCAGAACTCTCATACAACTGCTGATAGGATGGTAAATTAATGGGGCCACAATGGAAAACAGTCTCTTCAGTGGAACTACCACCAGATCCAGAATTCCAGTCTTTTATTCCTAAAAGAAATAAAACAATATGTCCACATAAAAACTGTATCCAAATATTCATAATAGCATCCCATAATAGCCAAATGGTGGAAAAAAACCAAATTACCATCAGATGTTGAGTCAGTATATAAAATGTGATAAATTCATATCATTGAATATTATGTGGCCATAAAAGTGAAATAAAGTATGGATAAATGCTACAATATGTATTTGAAGGGTTATAATAAGTTAAAGAAGGCAGTTGTGCATGCACGTGCACACGCGCGTGTGCACACACACACACACACACACACACACACACACACAACTGACCTCTGGCTTCTACACGTGCACTCACACACCTCAGACACTGTCGACCTAATTTTTTGTGACAGAGTATCTTCACTGGCCTCGACCTCACTCTGTAAACTAGGCAGGCTGTAAGCGAGCCCCTGGGACTGGGCTTGTCTCTGTCTCCCAGCTCTAGGATTTCAAGTGTGCACCACTATGCCCAGCTGTTCTTGTGGGTTCTAAGGATCAAACTCAGATTCTCACGCATGCAAGGCAAGCACTTTATTCCCTGTGCCATCTTCCAAGCCCCATGAAGTTTCTTGTGGAAACAAGGTCAGAGTTCTAAAATGAATTGTTGGGCTAGAGAGATGGCTCAGTGGTTAATAGCACTGGCTGCCCTTGTAGAGGTTCAGTTCCCTGTACTCACATGGCAGCTAACAACCTTCCGTAAGTCCAGTTCCAGGGGATCCTATGCCTTCTTCTAGCCCCTACAAGTTTGCACACGCATGGTACACTTACATGCATGCAGGCAAAACACACACATTTTAAAAAATCAAAAAATTAAAATGGATTTTTGTTGACAGTAATTCCACTCTATGAGTATAATAAGGGGAAAAAAAACATTGGATTGGTAAAGCAGAGCAAGAGAGACCATTGCAGTAATCCTGCAGAGATGATGACTTTGAGGGCGAAGGGTAAATCTGATGGCTTTTCAAGCAGTAGAAAACTTAGATCTTGGTAACTAACTGTTAGAGATCCTAACCTTGATCAATAATGTTTTTATTTTGACACTTACCAAAACAGAAAGCTTAAGAAAAACAGAATTACAAGAAAATAAAGGAATTCCATTTCGAGTATGTAAAATTTGATATGCTGGTGAGACCCAGGATTGTAAATGTCCAGAAGTAAGATGGGTGTCTAGGTCCTGATCCCAAAAGAAGAGAATTTAGAATTCTGCCAGAAGAAAGCAGCAGAGTTCATCAGGTGATCATCAGGTGGTAACTGAATCCTTGGGGACCATGAGGCTGCCCCATAAGAGAGACTCGGAGGACAGAGTGTGGTGTTGCTTGTAGAAAACATGGATATAAGAGCCAGGCATGGCAGCCCACACCTCCCAGCACTCAAGAGGTAGACACAGGAGGATCTTGTGAGATTGAGGCCAGCCTGGTCTACACAGAGTTCCAAACCAGCTAGGGCTACAGGGAAACCCAGGAAGTAAGGAAGGAAGGAAGGAAGGAAGGAAGGGAGGGAGGGAGGGAGGGA